TTCTCTCGCATCGTCGTCCATACCGTTGATGCCTTCGGAGTCGAAGTCAAGCACGTCGGTTAAATCATCAACCGTGGCAATGAAGTGGGTGGTGGGTGGGAAAAGAATTCCTTCATTGTCTGCTTCCCACTCGAGCCGGGCTTAGCTTGGCCGAGAGCCTCCTGTCAAAGAGAGAGACTTTAATGAGTTCAGCATGTCGCCAAAGGGCGAGTGCTGGAAGATATCCGTAGCGGTAAACTCCATTACCGGAGCCCAGCCAGGCTCTGCGGGCTCGGGAGCGCGTGGACCGGAACCTACATTCGGACACGAGTCCGGGCGTCCGGGGCCACATGCCTTCTTAGAAGTGAGGCCGGTGTTTGGCTCTACCGCCGATGAGTGTGCGGCCTGCGGGGCGGGGTCCATCCCTCCGTCCTTAGGCAACGCAGCTTGCTCCAGATTTAGGTCCGGGGCTACTGCAGGGGTGATATCCCGAGCATTGTCCAGCAGCAGGTCTAAGCCGTGCTCAACATGACTGTCCGGTGTTCCTGGCATAGGCCCGAATCCGTCGAAGATCAAGTCTCCGCAATATCCACCGTGTAGTTCAGGTTTCCGAACCTGATCTGGTGGCCAGGGGCGTAGCTGTCGATCTGCTCCAGATGGCCAAGCGAATTGGCCCGCAGTGCGAAGCCGCCGAACATGAAGATCTGTCCGGGGAGAAAAGTCTCACCCTGGACCGTGTTGTTGACGATGATTGAAGGAGCCATCGAGCCTTGCAGCGATGACACAGAGGAACTCTCAATGAAAGCACCAATGTCGGTGTCAAAACCGGCGGATCTTGGGTAGGGGGTGCCGATCTGTGCGTCTTAGGCTGATGGTAACAGGAAGCGAGGGACACAATATTTACCCAGGTTTGGGCCCTCTCGATGGAGGTAAAACCCTACTTCCTGCTTGATTAATATTGATGATATGGGTAGTACAAGAGTAGATCTACCATGAGATCGTAGATGCTAAACCCTAAGAGCTAGCCTATGATGATTATGATTGTAATTGTGATCGACCTTCTAAGGACCAAACTCTCCGGTTTATATAGACACTGGAGAGGGCTAGGGTTTACATGGAGTCAGTTACAAGGAAGGAAACACAATATCCAGATCGCCAAGCTTGTCTTCCACGGAAAGGAGAGTCCCATCTGGACACGGGACGGAGTCTTGAGTCTTGTATCTTCACGCTCCAATATCCGGACGACGTATATAGTCCGGCTGTCCGGATACCCCCTAATCCAGGACTCCCTCAACTCCCGAAAAAAAATGTAACTAAAATACCCATGTGGTGTCTTTGAATTTTTCATGCCCACCTTATTTTTCTACAATATCTTGTTCAAAAGAGCTGCTCATGCTACACATCTTAAAGCACCAAACCCGCCTCAAACGCCTAGGCGGACGGCTAGGTCACTGACTAGTCACGAAAATTTGACCCAGACGAACGCCTCAAATGCCCGGGCTGACCGCCATCCCTCATATCCAGCCCAAATGGGGCGGATATAGGGTCACCTGGGCGCGTCCGCCATGTCGGACCCAACCCACGCTGACCCACCCGACCCATATATATTCCTCCCCATCCACTCGCCGGACCAAACCCTAACCACTTTATTCCACTCCCACCCACTCCCCTCCGCCTCCCGAGCTCATCTCCGGCCTTCTCGACCATGGCGGGTAGCGGATCTGATTCCGACCAGTCCGAATCTGTCGACTTGGGTGTCATCCTGTGCGGATTGGAGGAGGCTTGAACTGTCAGTGCCCGCGAACGTGCCCGGACGCGTCCGCGGGCTAGCGATGGATTGGATTTGCAAGGTCCGGCTAGCTATAGATGCTCTTATATTTGCTATTTGATCGTCACGAGTCACTTAACAAATGCAGAGCAATAATCATGAGTGCTGGCGTGTAGATCATCAAGTAATGCACAACTTGTCACAAGCAGGGTGGTGAAAACGACGCCGTAAATGGCTTCCTTTTCTGTTGAACAACTGTAAATGGCTTCCTCAGTCGCGATTACCCGCGGACGCATGCGCACAGGCCTCGGCGGCTCGGCCTACAACTACAAATAGCTCGCGGTTGAAGGCACTGCCCCAGTACACGCGCGCACACACACCCCGCGCCAAGGGAAGGGACCACGCGGGTCCGCGACGTTCGTGCGTGCGTCAACCAGCTATGTCCACCGAGGCGCTGCTGGCCGCCCAAGGCGGTGGCGGCGGCGGCGGCGGCGGAGGGGAGGTGGCGAGCCGGCGCCTGAGCATCGACGACGCGCTGGCGGAGCACGCGGGGGAGTTCGGGCGGTGGCAGCTGCGGCACTTCGTGCTGGTGTCGGCGGCGTGGGCGCTGGAGGCGCTGCACACCATGGTCATCATCTTCGCGGACCGGGAGCCGGCCATGTCATGCCCCGCGGGGGAGGGCCGGTGCGGCGACCGGTGCGCCGGCGCGGCGGCCGGGTGGGAGTGGGCGCAGGGGAGCGCGTCGTCGACGGTGGCCGAGTGGGGCCTGGTCTGCGGCGAGCGGTACAAGGTCGGCCTCGTCCAGGCCATCTTCTTCGCCGGGTGCATGATCGGTACGTGCGCTGCCGCTTTGCTCTGCTCCCGCCGCCGATCACCGGGTTAGGTCTATCTGTTTTTTTGGTATCTCTGTAAACCCTGTTTCGTCAGCCTAACATTTGGCTACCATATCGTCGTCAGCCTAACTAATCCCGTGGGTTGGCTTCGCGTGCGCTCTCTGATGTCCCGTTGATAGTATCTTCTCTTACGCATCAAGTGCAGAGCCTCGTGCTCTGTCTGTCACACGGATGGCATGCCCAGTCCCAGGGCGCAGCTTGCCGTGGCATGGCATGCGTCCCACTCCCACCGTGCAGCAGTACAGTTTCGCCGTGTCGAGGGCGCCAAATCGAATTTCCTCCCTCCCCAGATCCGTCTTTATCGCCAGCCGCTCCGTCCCAAGCGCCGTATACATGCCTGCCTGACTGCCGAGTAGCTGTACGTGCAATCTTTTACCTTGGAAAAAACTGAGGTCTAGCTAGCTGCGCATCTGGATGCATGCAGCGTCACTGGTTGAGTAGGATAGTTGTAGTTTACTTCAGCCTTTTTTTGACTCCTGCTGCATCTTTTTCTACTGAACTGCATCTACACCTGTATCGTGGCTAGCCTTATTTTGTATTCTAGTGCGTTTTTTTTGTACTTTTGAATGGTAGAAGCTCGACCTTCATGCATGCACGGCGCCGGTCTGACAGCAGTGCTGAATACTGACCAGCCAGTATGAGGCAAAACACGAATCAGCTTGCTGGTTACGATAAGTACAAATTTGTCTCGCATCGCCTAATGGGTCAGTCTCGGTGATGTGATCTCAAGCGCATTGCAGACTAATTAAGTTCTCCTACTAATAATACGACAAACTCCGTCTAGATTAGTCTCACCCTCGCATGTTGGTGTCGCATTCTTCTACTGGGGAGTATTTTTCCAAGCCCTTTTGTCTTTTGTGTTATGGGAATCAGATATGATGCTTGGGATCTCTTGGCCGATCCGTCCAAGCATCCCGCTGACTGAACCAGTGCATGTGGCTTAGAACTGTGGTCTAGTGGATCCTTTGGACAGTACTCGTACAAGCCTAACCAACAGTGACTAGCTAGTGGTACATCTTTGCATTTAAGGATGCGTCCCCCGGCACGTCCACTCAATTATTTGAGTGTAAGTTGCAGCAATACAACAACACTGAAATTGATCAACTGAGTATTCAGATTGAGCATCTGTTGACGCATGGGAGCATGGGGTTGAGTAGGATTCGGTTTCTTAGAGGATACGTACTATACGACTGAGAATTATAGTAGGGCGTTGACAGTGACCGGGATACGGCATATGCTTCTTCAGGCTCTCAATAAACCCTCCATATCGGAAGATGCTGCTGCTTCAGAGCTTCCGCGAAGCGATTGGCCGCGGATGACGGCGTACGGTGCGAGGTGACGCGCGCGCACAGATGTGCCGTAAATTTAGCCTTCCTACGTGGCTGTTCGAGCCGTGCCAGTTCTTCTTGGCTGTCAGTCGGATCAGATCAGGTCATCTATCGCCGGTGTCCTGATCCGGCAACTGGACAAATCATCCGGATACACTCTGCTCTGGGGCTGGGAATTGGACGACAAACGGGCCGCGCAATTCGAGTTTCGGACACACTCCAGGCTACCTGCTAGTGGAGTTGAAGTAGAGTACTTCGCCTGTGCTCACTTTCTTCTCCTCTGTTTTTCGCTGAATACGAAATGGCTAGCAAAAAAAAAAAGACTAAATAATGGACTGAAAGTTCAAAAAAAAGTAATGGTCTGGATTTTGCAAAAAAAAGGTGATATGTTTGCTCTATCTCTTTGATGCAGGCCGCCGGTTTGGCGTGCCCCATGATATTTTAACTGTTCCACTGAGCATCATTGTTTAACAAGTTTAGCAAGGTTCTCTAAAAAAAAATCCGGTCATGCCATTCATTTTATTACCTATATTTATGGTGTTTTTTCTGTCGTTTCATGTGACTGGTTTTTTTAGAACATCATGTGATCGATCACGTTGTTGGCTCTTTGCAGGCGCCGGCGTGTTCGGGCACCTGTCAGACTCCTTCCTGGGCCGGAAGGGGTCCCTCCAGGTGGTCTGCTTCCTCAACGCGCTCTTCGGCCTGCTCACCGCGCTCGCCCCCAGCTACAGGGTCTACGTCGTCCTCCGCCTCCTCACGGGCTTCAGCACCGGCAGCATCGGCCTCTGCGCCTTCGTCCTCGCCACGGAGCCCATCGGGCCATCCCGCCGTGGCACCGCCGGCATGTCCAGCTTCTACTTCTTCTCCGGCGGCATCGCGGCCCTAGCCGGCGTCGCCGCGATGTTCCAGTCCTCCTGGCGCCTCCTCTACGTCGTCACCTCCCTCCCCTCCCTCGTCTTCGTGCTCGCCGTCATGCCGTTCATCTCCGAGTCGCCGCGCTGGTACCTCGTGCGACGGCGCACTGACGATGCCATGCGCGTCTTGCGCGACATTGCGGCCACCAACGGCCGGCGCATCCCGGACGGCGTCACGCTTAAGCTCGATGATGAGGGAGATGATGCTAACGGCGGCAAGCAGATCGAGGAGTCGTCACCGTCGTCGTCGTCGGGATCGATCCTGGACGTGTTCCGGTCGAGGACGACGCGGGCGAGGCTAGTGCTGTCCGTGCTCATCAACCTTCTCTGCTCGGTGGTGTACTACGGGCTGAGCCTCAACGTGGTCAACCTCAAGACCAACCTTTACGTCAGCGTCGCCGTGAACTCGATCGCCGAGATGCCCGCCTACCTGCTCACCGCGCTGCTCCTCGACCACTTCGGCAGGAAGCCACTCGGCATCGGCACCATGCTTCTCAGCGGCGTCTTCTGCATCGCCGGCAGCCTCATCGCTGGCGTCGGCGCCATGAGGTAAATCAAATAAGAGTTCAAGCCAGCATTCAAACTTACGTGTGCGCTGCATCTTCTTTGTTCTAAAACATTTGAGTATGTGACATTGCAGGATAGTGAGGATGGTATGCGGTGTGGTGGGCATCTTTGGCATGGCGGCGACGTACAACTTGTTGTTCATATACACGGCGGAGCTGTTCCCGACGGTAGTGCGGAATGCGGCACTAGGTTGCACGTCACAGGCATCACAGATGGGTGCCATACTGGCGCCCATGGTGGTTGTGCTCGGGGAACGGGTGCCATTCGCAGTGTTCGGCGTGTCGGGGATCATCGGCGGGCTGTTGGTGTTCTACCTCCCGGAGACGATGAACAAGCCCTTGTATGACACCATGGCCGGCCTGGAGGAAGGAGAGAAGACCCCCTTGAAATAAGAGCAAGGTGCAGCGGGTGACTCTGAATTGCATCAGTTTTCGTGTGTATCTTTGTACTGAAAGATGTTGCCGGTAGAAAATGTTGCTGATGGAGTGAACCGCTCATGCAGCTTCGTTTGTAGATTTATTTTCTTGTTGTATGGGGTTTGTAGATTTTTATTATGGAATATGCTGTAGATTATTTCACCTGTTGATAAATCAAATAGAACGTTGTTCTCTAGTTTGGTTGAGACATTGTTTATTGTTTATTTTATTTTCTAGAATCCTCTACTTTAGTTCTCCCACCCATTTCTCGCAAAAAAAAGAAGTTCTTCCACCCATGCAATAGAGAGTGAATGGGAAAAGAGGGGTTACTTTTATTTTCATTTTCCCCTTCAAAGATAGACTTTGAAATAAGAGTCATGAAATAATGCTGAATTCGAAGGTTTATTTCTATAGTATAAAAAATCAAATAAATTTATGAATTTACCACGACTTTTGTTGTGATACATAGATAAAGAAGGAAAATTTCTCTCTTGAAGACCATTGAAAAGAACCGACCGGCAACATGCATAACGTTATTTAAAGCTTAGCTGGAAACCACACTTAATAAACTATTCTTTGTTTTTTTTGAAACGAGGCAAAAGCTTTGCCTTATATTGATAAAGAAGGAGCAAGAACAACAGCAAGGTGGGAATGGCTTAGGCCATCCCAAAGGAAAAGGAAAAAACAAAAACAACAAACAGATCAGCCCACAAGATCCGCCAGGTTTTTTGCTCCCGCTAGAATCCAATCTTTTGCTACCTCTCTTATCTTGTGCATGACCACCACCGGCAGAGAGGATTTCTTGTTGAAGACTCTCTCATTTCTTTCCTTCCAGATTTCCCAGGTGATGAGCATGATAGCCGTTTTTAGACCTTTGGGAGAGGAAGAGGGCGACCTAGCTAAGGCCTGCCAGTAGTCCACCACCTTGGGGCGACCAGAGCCCATGTTAAGCAGTAATTCCGGGCAGGAGAGCCAGGATGCCGCCGCGGACCAGATCCTCTTGGAGTAACGGCATTCAAAGAGCATGTGTCTCGCCGTCTCAGGGGAGCACCGGCATAGCTGGCAGGAGGGCTGGTGTGGCCATCCACGTTTGGCCAGGCGATCCGCGGTCCAGAGGCGATTTTGGACGGCGAGCCAAGCGAAGAAACGGCATTTGGGAGGCGCCCACGTTTTCCAGACAATCGAGCCGAAGGAGCAAGGCAGCGCGGTCATAAACTATTCTTTGGTGGAGGTGGAATTCCTGGATGGAACTGCTTCAAAATGAATTTGATTACTGATATGTTTGGTAAACCAGTGCAGTCCCAAATAGACCCTTAGGGCATCTCCAATACCGTTCCCTAAATCGGACTCACTATCCGTCAGTGGATGCGTCGATGCATCCACGAAAACGGACACGGGAGACGGCCATCCAATGCAGTGCCCTAAACGTCTGTCTGTGTCCTTTCCTATACCCAATGCACAAAAAATAATATAGCAATAGTACAATTCGTTCATAAATAACATGCAAATATACTAGTACAACAATAGTCCAAGTATTATAAATATTTAGATCCAAAATATAATCGGATGTTCAACATGTTTTTGAAAATTCGCCGATACAAATTAAATGTTACTCTGAGTCCTACAATGCATCGGTATCGACAAAAGTTGGTCATCCAGACATTGTGCTTCGTGAGCTTTATCCAAGAATGTATGAGCGTGAATGGCCTGCCCTTATTGTTCGATACAGAAGGCAGCACGTGGTAGCTATACAACATACAACATGATGATTACCAAGTTAACATAGAAGGAATGAGTGCCAGCGTCGTCAGTGGCCTTGCCTCTTCCCCCGCTCGGGGTAGCTCAATGCGGGCCGAGGAAGTCGAGTGGCAGCGCTTGCACGGGGCGCGATGACGTTTCTTCAAGAGTTGGCGGCGGGTGTTCGCCTTCTGGAGGTGGCGTGAAGGGTTGTGGGCGGGGGCGGTGTGCGCGGTGCTCACATTGCGACTGACCTCATGCGGACGGATCTAGTGATCAGATGGGTTTGGTGGTACCTGGGCGCATTGTAGCGGTGCCTTGGCCGGAGGTCGTCAGCTGGTTCAGCTCCCAGATTTGTGTGCAACCGGAGTTGGGCATGGTGACTTTCCCAGCTTTGTCCATCGTTGAGGGATGGTCCATCGCTAGGGGGACACGGTGTCATTCTTGCCTCCCTTCTGGTGGCGGCTTGCCACCGAGGAGCTCACCTTTTCCCGGGTGGGCAACGCGGGGCGGTGTAGGCCAGCTCTAGACGGACGTGGACCTAGGGTTGTTCAGGGGTGGGTAAGGAAGTGCCTTCATGTCTGTCTCTTCTATCATCTTGGTTACGAGCCTAGGAAAAGGATGGAGTCGGTGTCATGGATGCCGGGACGACGGAGCTGCGGTGCTAGGAGGCGGAGCATGTGGCTTAGGCGTTGTCTGGTTACCATGGTTGTGTGGGCGGTGTGGTTGCCAGGGTGTGATGTTCGGTGGCGGTGGTGCGTTAGACCATATCAATTCAGTGACGGTGGGTTCTGCCCGAGGTCAAAACCATTTCTAACATGTTAGGCTAGTGATGGTGGCATTCTGACGTCCTCCCGTCTTGAAGGCATCGTCGCGGGTACTCACTGTTCATCGTAGTGTGCTCCGAGGGAACTATAAGGCCATACTTGTCCCTTAGTAGTTTTGGTGATTGATGGCAATGCTTTTGCGGACTAATCGTGTGCATTGAGCTTTTCAGATATATCATGACTAAACACAAGACGATTTGATGCCCCTCGAAGATTATTGAAGACGACGTTTCTCTACGTTTCTTTTCGGTGGAGTTGAGTCGTAGGAAAGCCGTACTATTAAGAGGGGGTCCACATTGGAAAGGTTTGGGTGGAATCCCACGTACACGTTCCTTTTGCACCGCCTTTCCTTTGGCTCTTTGGAGTTTCCTCCGTCTCACCATGTCTCTGCGAAATGAAGGACTCCGAGTGTTGCTGTTCACAGGCTGGCGGTAGTACTGCTCCTCGGAGCGGTACTACCGTAGGCGCCAGCGGTAGTACCGGGCTCCGGCATGGTAGTACCGTGGGCTCCCACGGTAGTACCGCTCCTTCTGAGTGGTAGTACCGTGAGCTCTGGCCTGGTGCTGCTGCGCAAGTGGTAGTAGGGGCGGATGTAATTTTTTTACATCCGCGCCCCACGCGGTAGTACCATGCTCTTGCGCGGTAGTACCGTGCCGCCTGGCCAGGCACAACAACATGAGCGGAGGTAGGGCGGATGTAATTTTTTACATCCGCACCCTACACCGTAGTACCGCACCTGTTGCGGTAGTACCGTGTCGGATTTTTGCATCGATAAAATCTCAGCGGAGGTAGTCACGGATGTAATTTTTATATCCGTGCCTACCGTGCCTGGACCGTGGCCGCCCTGCGGTAGTAGCGCATGAGGTCGTGGTAGTACCGCACCAGCGGTTCTACCGCGGAATGTCAGTGCTCATCTGTTTAGGTCCAGGCTCTGCCGCGCCCACGGTAGTACCGCGCGCCATCGCAGTAGTACCGCAGGCCCGTGCGGTAGTACCGCTCCTGTGGTGCGGTAGTACCGTGGGTCGCGGGCTGAGTGGTGGGTAACGATTGGAATTGTCACCCCACTATATAAAGGGGTCTTCTTCTCCAAGAAGACTCACCTCTTCCATCCCTAAGCTCCATTGTTGTTCCGAACTCCATTTTCTCCCGATCTCTCTCCCTAGCCAATCAAACTTGTTGATTTTCTCGGGATTGGTTGAGAAGGCCCTGATCTACACTTCCACCAAGAGAAATTTGATTCCCCCCACTAATCCCTTGCAGATCTTGTTACTCTTGGGTGTTTGAGTACCCTAGACGGTTGAGGTCACCGCGGAACCATAGTCCATTGTGGTGAAGCTTCGTGGTGTCATTGGGAGCCTCCAATTAAGTTGTGGAGATTGCCCCAACCTTGTTTGTAAAGGTTCGGTCGCCGCCTCCAAGGGCACCAATAGTGGAATCATGACATCTCGCATTGTGTGAGGGCGTGAGGAGAATACGGTGGCCCTAGTGGCTTCTTGGGGAGCATTGTGCCTCCACACCGCTCTAACGGAGACGTACTTCCCTTAAAAAGGAAGGAACTTCGGTAACACATCCTCATCTCCATCAGTTCCCCTTTTGGTTATCTCTCACCTTTACTTGTGCAAGCTTATATTGTTGTCGGGTGGTAGGTGCGACATATGCCAACGGGTGGCTAATCATAGTGGGAGCCAATAAGACGTCGCCGGTGCCTGGAAACGGGATGAGGCAAAGACATGCACGCCGGCGAATCTTACCCAGCTTCGGGGCTCTCCGTGGAGATAACACCCCTACTACTGCTTTGTGGGGTCTCCGCATGATCACTAGATGAATAAGCTGCTACAAGCTGCTCCCAGAGCTGTTCGGTGAGAGGAAGAAGAAGGGCACGGCTAGCTCCTCTCTCCCCTCTACGTGTGGCTAAAACTATCAGAGTCCAACCCTTTGCATGGGTGCCCCGGGGGGTTTATATAGGCCTACCCCCGGGGGTACAATGGTAATCCGGCTAGGGGTTGGCCCTAGCCGTTAGTGTCCTCACCCGCCGGCTTCTCTGCCGGCCGCTGGGGCCCACCGACTTGGTGGTTCCCGCCGGTTGCCGGCTCCCTGG